GGCCGCGGAGCCCGAGCCGCGGCGCCGCCTGGAGATCGTCTTCGTGTCCTCGGACCAGGACCAGCGGCAGTGGCAGGACTTCGTGCGGGACATGCCGTGGTTGGCGCTGCCCTACAAGGAGAAGCACAGGAAGGTGAGCGGCGCGGGCCTGTCGTGCCCCTGGCCTCGGGAGCCCCTCATGGGAGCTGCGACCTCGCCGCCCCCAACCCTGCCGTCCGCGTCCGCCTTCTCCATCTTGGCAGCCCTCCCCCCGCGCACGCACCCCCTTTCCAGGACCCTGCCGGGTTGTGGAAACTCCGGGGTGCAGTGCCAAGCTGCGCCCGCCCTGGGAAGTTTGACGTCCTTCGTCGTCCCCCCCAATCCGGGTCTGGACTTAAACTGTGGCCCCGAGAGCCCCTTGTCCCCACACATTGGGAGTCTTGCGAAAAAGGGTGGCTGTGCTCTGGGGTCCCTACTCTGTGACCCCCACCCCACCCCCAGCAGAGGTGCGGGAAGGGGCCCCTTCCTCAATCACTTGGCTCCCAGTGGATACCTGTACTGGGTGGGGGTAGAGGCTACCCCTACCCATAATGCCCAAACCAGGAAGTTTCCTTTCTTTCCGAGAGAAATTTGCTTTCCTGGGGCCCCCTCTCCTGTGACTAGGGACCTAGAGGCTGAGTCCGAGGTCAGGCCACCGTGTCCCGGGGAGGCAGCTGCTGACCGTGGCTTTGGGCGAGAAAGAAGCTCTTTTCTGCTCTTTCTTTCTCTCGCCCCCTGCCCAGCCCCCGGGCTGAATTAGTGGCCTCCAGGGAGCTTTTCATTGTCTGGCTGTCCAGCTATCCTCCCATGCCCAGGAACAGCCCTGTCCTTGTGGATCCTTTAGTTTCGTGGTGGGCCACTGTTGTCCTGACATACTTCGAATTAAATGCAGAACTGATCCCATAGGTGTAGACTGACTGGAGAAAAGATTTGGGGGAAATTCATACTTCCCTGTCAACTTCATTCCTCCCAATTTGCTGCTGAAATTAGTTTGTGTGTGTGTGTGTGTGTGTGTGTGTGTGTGTGTGTGTGTGTGTGTGTGTTGGCTGAAGACGTCTGTTTCAACAAAACAAATTCGGGACATTTGGTAATGAATGGTAACAGAAAAAGTTTTGGAGCCCTTTTGCTTAATTAGTTTGTGGCTAATACAACGTGTGAATCCAACCCCTTTCCTTTTGGAGGGGAATCTCAGTTTATGAGTGGACAGGAGAAAGGCTACTCTGAGGGCGTTTAGGTTCCCCTAGGGAGGATTGGTAACACATGCCATGTGTTTCTTTTATGTGTACAGAATCTTTTTGAGAAGCATGATTTAGATTTAGTGAGAGCAAAAAACTTATACTGTGACCCCAGATGTCTCGAGTAAATCATCCCAAAGCAGTGTAAGGTACAGAATTGAGATTTAAAGTATGAAATATAGTTTAACAAATACAGTTTGTAAATTTAATGTTGAAAAAACATGGGTTCACTAACCACACAGAGGCAAGACTTTGCATTTTAACCACTTTGTAGGTTATCTTGCCCATCCTGTGTTTGATTTATATGCTTGATAAGCCATGAATATGCATGGTTAGTACTTTTTGCTTGAAAATATGGGAATCCTTTGTTTTCCTTGGTAGTTTTTATGATTCTTTTGGGGAGAAATAATGTTCACAGAGTGATCTATCAAAAAATATTTTCATCATTATGGTCAGTTTCTATTGTAGACAAAAGTCTGTTCAAAATCATGTCCTTATTGAGCAGTGCAAATGATTTCTAGCTTTTGAAAATATACAGTGAATTGTAAAATTTATTGTGTTTCTTACAGAAGAGGACATAAAATTGCTGGAGAGTTAAAAGCATGGGGCAGACTGAGTTTTTTGGGAAATACTTAGGAGTTTTTCTTTAAAAAGGAGCACATTTGATATGACATAGGCCATGCCTGATTCTCTTTTCTCTGAACAGACCCTTTGCATAAAAAACAGTGTTCTGTGGCCCTCGCTTGCTGCAAATTCCACCAGGATGAGCATCTGGTTGACACAGGGCAGGCTGTCATTTCAAAACACAGCCCAGAATGCTGTACATGCCAAAACCACAGTGTATTAGCATCTTAAAATTTTATTTTAATTAAAACAATTCTTACAGTGCTGGGGATGGGAATCCAGGGCCTTGTGCATGCTAAGCATGCATTTACCGCAGAGCTATATCCCCAGCTCCCCAAATTTATTTCTTTGCTCAGGTACATATCCAATAGTTCGTGTATTCTCTACAAGCAGACCACTTTTCAAGCAGGTGATTTCTGGCCCTCTGTGTGGGTGAATAGGCGCTCAAGATTTGATCCCAGAAACATTCTTATTCATGACACTATATACCAGGTAGAAAGACTCCAGCTGGCTTTCTTATGGAAAACATACTGTTGAAAATCTCAAAAGCTATGTACTCACTTTGAAAGGAATTATTTTTTCCCTCTTGAAAACAAAGAGATGTAAAATGCATTCCTCTTTTGTCAATGAGTTTTTGTCTCTCTTGTTTGAATTCAGGGTTTATAGACGTCTGAGATTTTGGTGCTAATTTCACCATCAGAGCCAGAGGTACCCCCAGTTCAGGGTGATGGATGGGTGAACACTTTTTATTGCTGGATTCTCTCCATGTTGTTTCACCAACAATAAAAATAGTTTTAAAGAAGGGAATTTTGTTTTACATTGAAGGGAAACCAAAGTTCCAGATCACATTTTTTTTTTCAAAGTTCTCATTAACGTGTGTTTTTTAAAACCATTTGTGTACTTCTTCCCATTGGGATAACAAAGGATATGGTTCTAATTAGTTGTTGGCTGGTATTTCTCTAAAGAAAATTGAAAAATTATGGTGGGGAGAGAAAATGCTGTGTGGTATTTCTTTCTTTTTTTCTTCTTCTTTTATTATTTTCTCCTTTATATAGTAAGAAAGTCTGGGGATGACCATATATGTTCTGCCTGCATTTTGCTGGCTCTGCTGACCTCCATTAGAGATGTGAAAAAGTAAGTAAAGGGATTCTAGCATCTTTATGTTTTTGTTCCTTATGGAAGGTTGTCCTGTTTCTTATTGTTTTAGGAGTAGATACAAAAGTCATTGAAACTTTTTTTTTCTTCTAGAACACACACATTATTATATGGCTGTATAGACACTGTAATTAGATGATAATACAACTTTGGGTGCATTTATAAGAGCACTTTTGTCAAGAAACCTATAATCCTGAAGTTAAAGCGGTTAAGCTTGTTTTAATAAGTAGGTTGGTAGACCCTTTTCAGATTTCTGAAGAGAGACAATGTGATGAGTAGTTGGAGAGTGGTGAAGATTGGACCTTTGGGGATGTAGTCCGTCCCTTTAGATGAATGTGAGTTACTGAGTTGTCGAGAGGATCCATCTCGAAGACCCATGTTGGATCACAGAAGTGAGCACTCATTTTGGTTTTAAAGCCACAGGACCTGGCTGTGCCTGGGCTCAATGCCTGATGGAAAACATTTGGTCGCTGCGGGGTGTGCTGACATCAAAGGGTGCAGACCACTGGCCTCTCTCTGGGCAGCTTTATTGGTCCTAGAACCTTCTTCGTGACAGGAAGAGGAAGAGGAAGTTGGGGTGGAAAGAGTAGCCAGGACTGCTGTCCAGCATCCTGGCCTACCTGATTGGCCGAAAAAGTGAATCCATCCTCCAAGGGGCCCTGTGTGGGCTACTTGCCCTGACGGTTCTGGATAGTTCTTTTGGTTCAGCCTAAATCAGAAGCATGGCCTAGAATTTACCTGAGTACCCTTTGGTTGTTTGGATGAGACAAGATTTGGTGTTAACCTAGCCTCAGAGCTCTATTTCTCCTATTTCTCAAATCCAAATACCCTGGCTAGTAAAAGATCAATTTTACCTTCTTATTCACGTTCAAAGTAGTAAAAGATGGCAAAAAGGCAAAACTTTAAAAATGAGGGCTTTCTGCCTTCCTCTCATAAGACACAGGGACCAGCAAGTCCAGGCTCCCACTGGTGACTGTTTACAGATTTAGGACCAGTCTAACAAAAGGCAACAGTCCATCCCGTGTGGTGGCACATTCCTGTCATCCCAGCACTCTGAGAGACTGGGGCAGGAGGGCAATGAGTTTGGGTCCAGTCTGGGCAATTTAGCAACACAGTGAGACCCTGTCTCAAAATAAAAATATAAAAACTGGGCTGGGGATGTTGTTCAGTTCAAAGGCCCTGCTGCGGTTCAGTCCCCAATACTGCAAACCAAAACAAAAAACCAGTCCATTAATGTATAAAAGCAATGTTCCTGAAGAGACTATTTCTTTGTTATGTTACTTGTGATGTGTGTGTGGAGAGGGGGGTTGTGGTTCTGAGGATTGAACCCAGGGCCTCTGCACTGAGCTGCATCTCTGGTCCTTTTTATTTTGAAATGGGTCTCATTAAGTTGGCCAGGCTGGGTTTGAACTTGTGATTCTCCTGCCTCCAAGTAGCTGGGATTACAGGTATGCACCATCACACCCAGCTTTGTAGTGTGTTTTTAAATCTCATTCTTTTCTATGTAGTGAAGCATTTTAATGGCTACAAATATAGGTACTTTAGTCCTGCCCGAGTTCAGATGATGCTCTGCTGGTTCTTAGCTGTGGGTCTTGTGCAAGATACTCATCTCTGTGCCACAGGTTCCTTATCTGTAAAATGGAGATGATAACAGCACCTGCCGTATAGGATTGTTATAAAGACTTAGCGAGATGACATACATGTGCCTGGCATATGGTGAGTGCTCAATAAATGCTATTATTTTTGTTAATAAATGATCGTACAATTTAGCAATCCTTTTCACAGCTTGAGCCTTTGGAATGTATCGTTTCACAGAACTGCAAAACTGTTATGAGGTGTATTTTTTTCCTCGCTTTTCAAACCAAGGATTTTTACAAGGGGATATGATGAAGGAGTTGAAAGCATTGCCCAGCAAGAGATTATAATTGAGGAGAAGGACTTTGAAGAGTGAAACAACAAAAGCAAGCAAATATAAAATAATACTGTTTCTTAAAATTCTGGGAGATTTGTGACAGTTACTGAGCTCCCTCTTTATATTTGCCAGTGAAATTCAAGACTGCTGGTCATTGAGGTCTAGGCGTGATAAAGGGTAACAACTTCA